TTGCTTCTCGAGAGGCAGCGCTTGCCGGCGTCTTGGACTTCAGGACAGGCTGGGAGTACAGCCATCGCGGCAAGCTCTACAAGCGCACGGTGAGAGATCCAGTCCCATCCTCAACAGCTGTGGGGGCAGCGACTGCGCTTCCAGCAGGCAAGTCGTAAATTGGGTACACACTTAGTCTAATCATGTTTCTCAAGATTCAAGTCTGTGCTGTTCGTGGCAGCAGGCTGCGGACTCGTAACACTACAGCAGGCTTTGCTGCGCGTGGCACTCGCTCTCGTTGTTGCCTATAGTAAGCAAGGGAGGGGGAGCAACACATTTGGAAGCTTGAAACGAGTGCCACCTCTTGTGGGAGGTGCTGGTGTCCAAACCTTGATTTTTTTTACAATTTCGCGAAGGCTTTTTTTTCGTCTTCCACAACAAACCGCGTCCGCCGTGCTGCTGCTGCTGCTGCTGCTGCCCCGGCAGCGGCGACGGCGGCGACGGCGGCCAGTATCTGCACGTGAGGGTACTACTTGCAGCTCTCGAAAGTACCCATTTTCATTACACCGTATCGCGATATTTTTGTTTTCCCAAAATATTATAGCATTTTCTATATTTTTCGGTTCAAAGTGCACCGGGTGCAACGAGCTGAGCTGACACAACATTGTCACGTACAAGACTGCGCGTGTCACGTGCTGGCTTGCCGGTCCCGATGTTGTGCTCACCGGTGCTACAAGCGCTATTTGAACGCACCATTCACACCTTTATGCACTCCTCAACTGCTGTCTATTTAAACCTCTATGCCAACTGCTGTGCGGGCGCAGCTACCTCTGGGGCCTTTCAGATGCTCGTCACAAGTGTAACAGTCGACCAAATTTCCACATGCACGTGCTTCGCGATCATCACATATTGACAGTACCAGACCCAGGCAACACTACAGCAGGAATTATCGCTTTGTTTTAGTAATTCATCCTTTTGTATTCTCTGCATTCACTGCTGCCGTGATGCGTTGCTGCGGGCCGATCACACTCCCTGCACGAATACAAAGCCCCTGTAGGCGCTCTCACAAGTGTAATCAGTCGACCAAATTTCCACATGCACGTGGGTCGCCATCATCACATATTGACAGTACCGGACCCAGGCGATACTACAACAGTAGATATGGTTTTGTTTTAGTACTTTATCTTCGTGTGCATTCTGCATATACTCTGTTGCAGTGGTGCCCTGCTGCGGGCCAAAAACACTCCCTGCACGAGTACAAGTACAGTCGACATCTGTGCTCACGATCCCCTTCAACTGATCCAAACATCCATGCACCTGCGCCGCATGTTACTTCATCTGCCTTTACCTTAAACAAATTACCGGCTGTACTGCAAATACACACATCAACAAATACCGGGGGCGGGAACAGATAGGGCTCGCTGTGCTTTGTAGTGATCTTTTCCTGTCACACTTTGCTGCTGCTGTCGTATGAAGATGCTTCACACGAGCTGACGCCTCCACCCGAAATCCCAATTTCACACAGGAAAATCGCGCAACAGCCTCGGCAAGCTAAACGCCGTAGAGGAAAGGAAGTTCCCGCGACAGCGGCTGGCCGGTTCGGACGTCCTGACAAGAAGGGCAAGGAAGTCCTGGCACGAAATCCTGGCCTGCGGTTTCTCCAGTACGGGAAGAGCAAGGATGGATACTGGGGATACGACGAGTTCAAGGAACAGATCGAGGACGTCTTGGACGTCTTGGACGTCTTCGAACCCGACATGCAAGTGGTGGTTAAGATCGACCACTCTTTGGGGCACACAAGGCAGCGGGAGGATGGATTGCATGTGGGGAACATGAATGCCAAGTACGGGGGGAAGCAAAAGGTGTTGCGGGATACAGTCATGACAGAGGGGTGTTTGGGACCGGAAGATGCGAAGATGTACCTCTCCAACGGCAAGTGGAGCACGGAGTTCACCGAGGGGGCAGAGGTCTACGACATGAAGCTCGAGGTTGGCGACACACAGACCAGCACGTTTGCGGCAGGTTCTCCACCTCCCTTTACGAGTGGGATGCGCCGCGCAAAGATGTGAAGGTCGCGCGCAAGGCTAAGCGCAAGAGCAAAGCGGGAGCGGGGGTTGGCGCAGGCGATGTGGCGGCTGATGGGGCTGGAACAAAGCCTAGGGATAAGATTAAGGAAGGGTACGAAGGGAAGGCAAAGGGCTCGAAGCGGTACCTGTGGGAACGGGGATGGTGGAAAGAGGCTACAATGATTGCTGCATACAGCGGTAGTAGGAAGCTTCGTAGGAATGCTGCAGTTCGCACCCGAAGAGGCAGAGAGATCAGCGTGGGGAAAGCTTCCTTCCTCGATGTCAGTTTTGTTGCCGCCGATCCCACAAGAACGAAATGTTGACCAACGTTTTGCAGTGAGCTGACAGTACATTGCAACAGGAGTCTTTTCGTATCGTAGATACCATGTCGCTGGAGTAGGTGGAGTATTTCGCTGTACCAAACGTAGATGAATACTCGTCCAGGCTATTGGATGTTTTGAAATATTTTTGATGATGATGCTTCTATTTCTCCTCATAGATTGACGTGCGTTCCCGCGATCTCGAGCTACATCAATTCACTCGTTCACTCCCACATGTTTCTTCCTTCTCTCTTTGATCTTGTGAAAACGACCACGCGCTAGCCACCAGCTGGTGTGGAGGGTTGGAGTAGACGCGAAGACGTGTGGCTTTCTGGTTAGAGAATGCAACTAGCTCAGCCCTACACAGAGAGCCTATTCCAGTGTAGAACAGAATGGATACCCACGCGCTGAATGAATCCCAAGGTGACGCGAGCCGCCGTTCGCGAAGCTACGTAAAGCAATGCCTCATTCCGGAGTTTCTACGACCTATGAGCGGACTCGCGCTTATGATACATGTACCGTCCTTCTCCCCGAAACCAAACCGCTGCGACCCGTCACGTCTATTCCGATGGGTACCTCAGGACACCGCGGCGGCTAGCTAGGGAGATATTTTCTTGACTGTGCTGAGCCCCGCCAGCCGATTCCGCTTCTACGCCCAGAGCCGAGGACAGGTGATCGATTACGTCCACGCCTGCAGCAGTCTCGCGAAGATTCCCGTAGCAACAACACGAGGGTCAGCTAGCCCCTCCGTCGGTGTCTGTCGTACCAGCTTGACGCCGGTTTGATAGGGGCGTATATGCGGCACCAGACGCATGGGGGCACACGGGCGTTGGCTAACCTGGTTCGAAACACAACTGGCCGACATCAGGGCAATCGACGAACCGGAAGAACGTGAAGAGCAACAAGATCACGACGCCATTGGTCGAGGGGCAACAGGGGAGACTTGCCATGGTTCCAATGGACAACGAGCGAAGCGATTGTTTCTCAACTTGTTTTTTCAGCCCGTCGTCGGACGCACGCAAAACGCGCGTGGCATCGACCTTGGTTCTCCTTTGGACAGCTCGTGTACAAAGGTGCCTGCATTTTCTGAGAACATTTCACTTCCTTTGCGTCAAGAAAAGGGGCATAGCATTGCGATGCTACCTTGGCGGCATGAGATCACGCGCACTCCTCGTATCGTTCGGTGTCATCCCGTCGATATTCGTAGCTGTCTGTGGGAACAAGCGCGGGAGCTTCGCCAAGTTCCGCTATCCTTCGTTACGCCCGGACTCGACGTGGTATGATATCCCCACGAAAAATTCTTCGCGTATTGTATCACACAAGTATTCGATCTCATATCACCAGGCAGATCAAGAGGCCGCTTGCCAACGAATCAAGAGCCCACATGCTCATAACGCCACGAAAGGCGTCGTTTCGAACATTGCGAAATATTGTACTTCGAAGTACAAATCGCCGCGAAACAAGTTGCTACGCTAACTCGATCTCAACCGACTGGGCTGTCAGTCTGGCGCCGTGTGCGGTTTCGAATGCTGCCGTTGATGTGACCGCTGCTGATGATGATGACTTCGCTGCCGCTGTGGCTGGTGCTGGTGCTTTTCTTCCTGCTGCTCTCGTGGTTCCCCTTCGGCCCCGTTCTCGTTGAACCACACCAGCACCGCGCTGACGTTGTCCACAGACCCTTGGTCTAGCGCCAGCTTGGTCAGCTCCCTCGCGGCTCCGGACAGATCTCCGTTTTTCTCGGAAAGGTACAACCGAACAAAGTTTACCGCCTCCTGTTACGCGACAAAAAGACCAATCGATGTTAAACAATTCGGCGGCAGTTGTGCCTGAGGCACTGTAGGATATGGTACGTCTCTTGATAGAAAATTAAGGCCAAAGGATAGTCCTAGTTAAGCGCACGCCTGAATATTTCTGCCACATCTAGGAAAGCGAGCATGCTGAGCGACAACGAACACGAAAACTATCCATAAAGCACCTGATCTTCGACGACATCCCACAGACCGTCCGTGGCGAGTATCACGAACTCCATCGACCCGCCTCCCCCACCACAACCGCCACCGGATGGCAAGGTGGAGGAAACCACGCGTTCTGATCTCAGCTCGGGAGTCGCGGTCAACCCTGGCGATTTCCCTTCCTGTGAGGCACGTTCGTGTGCGCGGTGAACGTTGCGTTACTCTATCTGACGCTTTCAACTCAACCAAAGGAATCTTCTGGTCATGTCTTCGTGCACCGCGGTTGACGAAAAAGCAGCCAACACCAACGAAAGGCACCGCATCATCTCCATTACAACGCAAAACACATTTTTGGGCGGCACGATGTGCACAGCTTGGAATGAAAGTACCCTTCGATATGCATAGGCCGACGTCAAAACGTGTTCCCCACCACAGAGTTAAGTGAATCAAATTTTCAAAACGTTTGTTAGCAGGAGTGTGCAAGGATGGACGCCAGCGGTCCAAGATATGGGGATACTAGATTGGGCTATGAGTGTGGTGGGAATACGTCGGTTGCGGTTGTAAGGGAGACTTGCGCGTGAACGGAAGGCTTTGCGAGATTCCTCGCGTGGCCTTCCATTGAAATGCGATAAACGCAGCTGTCCGCGTTCACAAACACCGCCACGTCGCCCTTTCGAACCTCGCTGGTAGGTGGTCGGGCCATGTCATCTCGAGGCTTACCTTGTGTTGCACGTCGCCAAACGACCTCGAAACGGCCAGCACCCCGTTGATGCGGTCGTTCGTGACGAATCCTCCGCTGGCCTAGGATCCGAGGGGGTAAGCCGGTGCACAGCGTCCCAGCCAGGAATTTCGTCAATCGCCCGTTTGGTGAGCGTGATGATTCAAACGTGCAACACCTCGATTTTTGAGACGCGCCGTCTGACACACGCCGTCTGCCACAACACACCGCTACTACACTACTGCGTCATTAGCTTCCCGGGAGACAGCGCCGCCTGCATTCAAGCCCACCGTTTTTATGCACCCCGGGTCAAACCCACGGAGCAACTTGGTGAACCTACGGGCCGGGGGTGGGGGTGGATACCCTCTTAAGTTCATCGTGCGCATCTCACGACGAGAAGCCACCCAAAACAACGTTTCGTTTTGTGTGACCGAGGAGGGTGAAGGGGTTCCCGTTTGGAGAGCTCTCGGCGTCGCGTTGCGTAGGCTCGTCCCCACTCACCACTACTCGCGCCCTCTCGTCCGGGCGGCTCAGGCGATGGTCGCTCGAGAGCCGAGTCGCCACCCCGCCCCCGCAGCTGGCAACGCACCGCGAGTCCCCGACGTTCGCTACCAGAATAGAGCGAGAACGTCCGTCGAACACGACTACCAGGGCCGTCGCCCCGCTCGTGTCGTCTTCCTGCAATACCGAATGTTTCGTATTTTTTAGAGTTTGATGTAGAGATGTTCGGCTGTCCTGGTACAACTAATCGGGGTTGGCTGTACCATCGAGAAGCAAAGCGACATATTATTCAGATGGAGTGAATGCTTCAAACTCATGTTCGTTGTCAAACACACACACTTCCACGCTTCAACTTCTCCTCGGGACGATGACTTTCGTCCCGGTGGCAGAGGTTTTCGCATCTGTCAGCCAGTCGGCAGGCTCAGCTCTGCACACAGAGGTGAACACGCCAAGAGTACAAGCCCTCTTAAACTGGTCACTCGGCCACCGCGGTCAGCGCTAATTGAAGAAATACGCACCCCGCACCAACGCATAACGCATCGACATGACATACGTACCTGTTCTTGGCGCGCGCAGAGGTCTTTGTCGAAGCAGTTGAAGGCCTGCACCACGGCCTGTTGTAAAACAATGAGGGTGTTACAAGCGTCCGTCAGCACATTCCGGCATAACGGCCGCGCAGAAGGGCGCGATATCGCGACGAGACCGACTTCCGCATTTAGCAAGTCACCTCAGAGGTAGAGAAAAAGCATCCGCCGAAAACGCTGATGCCCGCTGGGGGCAGTCTGGGACACCAGCCTTCAGCGTGAAAATAACAGTTTGAAGTGAGATGAGGTCGGCCTCCACACACCTATACTGCAACTGGGTGTCACGACGTCTACGCGCACGGTGAAACCATAGCCGCATCCAACAGGGGGAGATCGCTCCTCGGTCTGTCACATCCTACAGAGGGATGCGCACCTCCACGAACATTGCACGTTGCGTTGCATGAAAAGGAAGCCGTCACTGCTTGCCGTTTCGAACCCTGGTTCCGAAGACAATTCTTCGCAGATGCGAGGGTTCCTTTCTGGAGGTTACGGCCAAGCGTGACAGGTACCCCATTCCCCGTCCCACTCCACCTTGCCTACAAACCTTGTCGGGGGCCTGGTGAAAGGTTGTTTGCTTGGCCACGGCAACGTGCAGGCCGGCGCGGAGCGCTTCCGAGGACATCTGTCCGTTGTGGCCATCGAAAACTCCGAAAAGACCGAAGTGTTGATACAGGTACTCCCTGTCCACCTTGTTCGGGGTGACGAATATATTGCACGCGAAAAAAAAAAAATAAATGCCAAAGGGGGGCGGGGGGATGGTATTTATTGGTGGCGCCGAACGCGCGCGCACGCCTTTGATGTACATCACAAACCACGCGCGATCCCCGAACGGGTGGGTCGAGGAGCGCTCAGGAGAGGTTGGGGTACCTGAGGGTTGAGCTCCACACTCAGACTACTGCACCACAAAAATATGCAAATCGTTAAAACATTGCCATGAATTCTCTCAAGTCTCGTATGACTGTAAAAAATCATGTCGTCGTGCAGCTTGAGGACGACCAATCGGCTGCCTAGGTCCAAGTATTAGTACCGGTGCAATTCTCTTGACGGCCGCGAGCGGTGTTGGTCTGTTCACCTTCCCGGCGACGGCCGTCGCGAGGTCCGGCGCCACCGTGACCCTGTCCTCCTGGCTCGCCCGCTTCCCCTGCCGCTGCGAGACCGCCGCCACTAGGCCAAGTCGCGGATTGCAGCGGCTCTCCCCCGGCGCCTGGGACGGCGGCAGCGAACCAGCCGCGGCGGCCCCCCTGGCAGAAGACCGCACCTTCACGTCGCGCAGGCTCAAGTCCCTCAAAGGGCGGACGCTGCCGGAAGGAGTGCGTGACCGGTCGTCGCCGGTGCCGCCCGTCCCTGTGCGTCTTGATGCGGCGCCACCGCCGAGGCCCCCTCTGTACGGCGGCTGCCCACAGATTGTGGAGGTGGACCAAAATAGGCGGGCCGGCGTGTCAAGGAAGGAGAACGAGACTGAAAGATTATGTAGCCTAGAGCGTGGTTCAACCAAAACAGAGACGAATGGCACAAAACAACCCCTTGTGAGCAAAGAAGGGATATTGTAGCCCCCCCCCTGCGTGTAGTCGTTTTGGCTATTGTTTGATCACCGGTGTTTCTCACATGCTGTGTTTATTACAGGTATTTATTAACTTTCGAGTTGTAGCGCGATAGCGATTTTTCAACGCCAGTGTATGTCGTCCCGTGTCACCTCTTCTCACACGGACGCCGCCCCCCATTGCAACGTCATTTGGCGCCACATACACCCACCAAGTCGTTGGCGTCGACTCTGCTGCGGCAGACGATCGTCTACCTTCTTGGGTGCATTGCGTTGTCGTACAGTACATGGCTTAGCTCTCGCGTACGCAGCGTGCTGATGCGCCCGTGTTGGGACCGCGTGCTAGCTGCGGCTTCCGAGGGCAAACCGAGATCACCATGGCCATCACCAACGACAACACAAAAAATAAAAGAGAAATCACCTGTGCCGCGAGCGTGTCCATCACTGCGTCGAACTTCTCGCTGCTCCGCCTCTTCGCGCTAGGACGCCTACCGCCAGCCTGATGCTGAAGAATCGGACCACCGCCCCGCATCCCCACCGCCCCACCCCTGCCGTGACCCCGCGCGCTGCTGCCGCCTCCCCTGCACTGTCCGACCGACGGCCTCGAGTCTCCACGCCCGGCTTCCACCGGCGAGCTCGTCGGCCGCGAACCGGACGACGGGGACATGGCCGTAGCCGACCGGGGGGATGCCGTGGAGACGGAGCCGCTGCCATCGTAGAGGGTGTCCGGGTTGTCTTCCGACGAGAAGTCGTCACTGTCGTCGTCTTCGTCGGTGTCGTCGAAAAACGAGTGCCCGGAGGGCGCCGGCGTCGTTACTTCGTGGCCGCGCTCGTGTTGCTGTTGCTTGTGTGGATGGTACTGCTGAGCCGCCGCCGACCGCGGGGGCAGGGACGAGGGCGGCGACGGTGCCGCACCCGTTGCTGCGGCTGCTTTGGGGGTGTTCGTCGTCGAGGAGAGGTAGGGTTTTTCTGTGGTTGGAGTTGGCGGCCTTCCGGCTGAGCCTTAAGCCACGACAGGTGCCCATCATTGGCGTGTGTTTTTGTCCAGGGGGTGCAGGAACAGCCGGGGGCGGCAGAGGGGAGAAAAATGAGTGTAAGGCGCGTGGAAAAGGAGACGGGGCAGTAGGCGGAGGGACCAAGACGGCAATTCTCTCACCAGAAAACGGAATCGTGCCAAGTAGACTAGTAAAAGCTACAATGTCGACACGTGATTTTTTTAACGAGGGGGGTATTCGTCCAAATCGCATCTGCGATCACCTTCACGTCTGTGGTGGTACTGAGGCTCAGACAGAAAAGCCAGTGGGTAGCGGGCGTCACCGATGCCAATGTCGCTGCCGGACCGGACAACGGAAAATCGGCGAGACAAAAGGCGATCGACGTACGGACTACAGAGTGCAGTGCTTCTGAAAGCGTTTTGCCGATTGGCAGAGTAGATGCCAGTATTCCGATTTCCTCATGGCGGCGCTGGAACTGGCGCTCTGTCTCTCTCTCTCTGTCCATTTCTTTCTCTCGACGTTCTCTCGATCGTCGTTTTCTATCAAAATAAAATTCTTCACAAAACGGAAAATATCTTCCAGGACGTTCATGTGACTCTATCAGGCCTATGGCCCCCCACGTGACATTCACCCATTTGTTCCCATTTGCTGTCATCCATTGTGAAATTGCGGAATCGATCGTTGTCTTGGTGCTGGTTGAAAGCACAAAGGGTACCACTACGGAGAAGATTCGAATACACGGAGAAGACACACGCAGTGCTCGTGGTACCGGCAACGGCGTACACAAGCACACACGCACGCGCACGCCTTACCGTTCGGAGCAGCAGGGGCCTGCCGCGGTCGAGCCTCGCCAGCGGGCGAAGCTATGGCCGCTCCCCGAAACTTGGGATCGGAGGCGTTTTCTTCTATTTTCTTCTTGAACGAGCGGAACTTCCAGGACTGGTCCGAGGGAACAGTGTGCGCAGATTTTTCGAGAGAGAGCAAGAGAGACACAGGGAGAGCGAGAGACAAAGAGAGAAAGAGAGGAACACAAAGAGGGAGAGAGACAGACAGACAGACAGATACACAGACAAACACACAAAGTATGGAGCGTGGGATGGTGTCATTACCCGAGCGTTAGGAGTGGTAAAGGCAGTCAAGGATTCGTGTCGAGCGGCGGTGGCACGTCGGGGGGG